ATATACATGTATTCGGTCAAAAGTCTGCTGGAGTAACGAAAATCAGTATAAGTTTTTAGTATAGAGCTGTACAGTAGAGCTGGAGGACTTCTCCGACCAATTTYCCATCTTCAGTAGCAACATAACCCAAAAAGCATTTTTTTCTTCAAAGTTTTGTTCAGATGTCATCAAGGGTACTTTCTTTATATGGTATAGTATAATTTATTTAGATAAAATAGTTTTTATGAGCAGTAGGCGCCATCGCAGTCCGATGTAGAAGTGATGTTGAGCGCCAAATTTAGTTGAAATTGATATAGTACTGCATGAAATATGGGATTTTATATAAAAGTTTGCTTTGCCTTTTTTATACGTATTTACTTCCATATTTCTTCGAAACTCTTCCTTGCATTCATTACAGAAAATTGTAGTGCTTCTGMTGTGTTCCTTTTAATAATCGTACTTTTTGATAGCTTAGCATAACCGTTATATGAATGTGGTTATAATCCGACCAAAGCCTGACCAATTTCATTTATTTCTGGCTGTAAAACAGATTGAATATACATACTCGTTGCACCCAAATCTCATCCTCATCGATGCTTGGAAATTTTGCTCGGAAAGGTCTGATCTTCTTAGACATTCCAAGAATCCTTAGAGCGAAGCCAAGACACTTGGGAAGTTCGAGTGGATTCAGTTTCTGCACAAGCTGTATTCTGTACGGTTTCAATTTAAGAAGTCGACGTAAACTCTTCACGGTCTTCGTTTACTCTATCAGCTGAGGCTGCTATATTTTCTTCACTGCGTGCTGGTGGTGGTCTATTCGGTCGAATATTATCCAATAATAAAAGCTGGGTGTCAATATGGGCGATGGTGTTGCGAATAGTACGCTCAGTAGGCCGCACACAAAACATTCTTTATATAACGTGTGAATCTTGGAAAAGAACCGTCTTCTTCCCCGCTTCTTTTAACTAGACGAAAAGGAACTGCATTTATGCCAGGTTGTCTGCATTTTTTCCCCAACAAACTACTACGGCTGTGTAAAATGACGTTGGGCAACACCAAAAGTTCTTTTAGGATCGGTAAAGACCTCCCCCAGTCTTTCGATACCAAACGAGATTTAAGGAGGGGCTTCTTATCCTGTGACCTCTTCAATTTACTGCTACGTTATACCGATGACATCGATATCATCGGCCATAAGAACCGTCGATTCTCTCCAGGTTGGACAAAAAAGCGAGCAGACGCATTTGGTAGTGAACGAGGGCAAGGCGAAATATCTCCTGTCATCAAATAAAACAGTCGTCGCATTCGCTCCCACGTCACTGTTGACAGTGTTAACTCCGAAGTCCTAGACAATTTCGTCTATTTTGGAACCAGCATTACCGCCAACAATAACATCAACCATGAAATCTACACAAAATAACTCTTGCCAACAGGTGCTACTTCGGACTGAGATGGAGGAGTATAATCCTCTCTCGACGAATAAAGACCAAATTCTACAAGTCACTCATCACCCCCTCCTGCTATATGATGCAGAGGCATGTGGGAATATTATAATATTATTATATATTTATCTCTTATAATATAATATTATCTCGAACAAGCACTTGAGTTTAATGGTACAAACAGCTATCTGACGAATTTTATTCTACATGAACTGAAGCTGGAGGAAGTTTAAAAGAAGGTATAAACAACAAGTGATGCAGAGGTGATTTGGGAAATTTAAACTACATGCGATGTGAAAAAGCGAGATCTGTTATTATTTAACAAAATTTTTAAAATTATATATGCCTCCCGTATCTCTACCATCCAGACATTTTAGAGGCTTACCAATAATTTTATACGCTGAACAGGGTATATTAAGTTCGCTATGTATTACCTGTCTCTTATACACATCTAGATGTGTATGCCTCCCGTATCTCTACCATCCAGACATTTTAGAGGCTTACCAATAATTTTATACGCTGAACAGGGTATATTAAGTTTGTCACGATGTTTGGACTGTCTCTTATACACATCTAGATGTGTATAAGAGACAGGGTCAACACAGCACGTGACTACCGCTACTAGCAAT